CCGCCGCCCCGCCGCGGGCGGTGCGGGCGCGGGCTCCGGAGTCCTGCGCGAAAGCAGCTCTGTGTGGCATCAGGGCAAGGCGGCTGTGCCAGGTGCAGCGCCGCCGCTTGCTGGAGTTACTGTCCCCCGTACTGAACCGGCGAAGCCGGGAAACCAGCCCGTCGATCCGTCCGTTCTGAGTCTCGCAGCTCTGCCCTTAAAGGAGGGTTGGGAAGGGGACTATTAAAGGAGGCTGACTTGGTGGGAACGGAGTGAGCAGCAGACTGGCGTATCAAGGGTTGGTGAGATCCCAGACAAGTGGATCCCTTTCTTTCCTGGGTTTTCTGATCCCAGAGCAAAGCTTAGGGGGTTGGAAGTTCTCCTTACTGTAATTATAAGCCAAGTGGCTGTGTTGTTTTACCCACGCGGTTATCTTGTTTTCTCAAGCTATTCTGTACCTGAAATTAAGAAGTTGGCTGACTTGTTGCCTCCAATCAGTATACAGAGGTAATTGCTCTAGGGCTTTCTCCAGTTGACCTGCATTGCCCCTTTAGGGTTGCCAGCTTGCAATGCTGCAGTGCATCGTTGGCAGGATTCTTCTAGGCGACTGTTCTAGAGCGGCACTGCAGAGAAGAGTAAGGAAACCCTGAGGCTGCTTGTGGGAAAATGAAAAAGCAGTTTGTGAAGAAGCAGGGATTTAGGGGAGAGAACCAGCACGGTCTGCTTATCATTGCTTCATCCCACTGTTTTTTCCCTTGTGGGGTCAGAATGCACGTGAGCAAGTTAGGGAGAGGTTTTACAGATGCTGCTGAATTAAACTCCCAGCTGCTCTGGTCCATATGGCCAAAGGTGAGGCATCTTGGAGCTGTATTCAGCAACAGCAGGAGGACCACAGGTTTCCCAGCCCCATGATAGAGGGTAGAAACAGGTTTGGAATGCCAGATTGGGGGCAGGGGGAGAAATGGTTGGGGGGAAGGAAATTCACTAATTGTTGTGTCTTAATCTATGAACCATGGTATAAGTGCTGTAGAGAGCCTACCGACTGATATATCAACTGTTTAAGAATGTTTTTTTTCTAAGTAGGCAGTTTTCAGCAAAAATTACAAATATATATATTTCAGCTCCTAGCAATGACCAAATCAGGGATTACATTTAATGGCACTTACTCAGTCAATCAGTGCTTGGTTGAGTATTTATATTTAAGAAGCATATGCTTATACTTTGCTGATGTCTACAGTCAGTGCAGGTTTTATGGTACATGACTTAACTTTGTTTATTTAAACAATTTTTATGGCCATCCTTCTTGCTAGGGTCTTGGGGAACAAGAATTAAAACCAGGAAACAACAAAGCAACTCAATTAATTTAAAAAGAAATAACAACCGCAGTCATGAATGTGACTCCCCTGAGAACTATTACATTCTTTAGGGTTGCGCATAATACTTGATTGCTGCTGGGGACTGAAGGTATATTTTTAGAATTCTGTGTAATCAGCTGTGGTCTTGTTCTTTTGTTCTTTTTATTGTGGCTCATCCTCCTCATGTGTGTAGCTGTTGCAATAGGTTCAAGACTTCATTTCCTAGCCAAAATTTTTTGGGATGCAGGAAATCCCATCATGAAGAGTGTGCTATCTCTAATCCAAAGCCTCGTTCTCAGTTGGTTAAGTAACAGTGGGGCGCCAACTTCCAAGGTCTCCTTCTTCCACACTGTGAAAGTCAAGTCTGAATTTGCCACTGGGGTGTGCCTGTTTGTTTAATAGCCAAGAGTTGGAACAAGAGGAACCTTGGCCATGTAAGCATCATATGATTTTGAAGTATCTTCCTTGGAAAATATTTCTTGCTCAGCTAATTAGAGCTTGAAAGCCAAACATATGCAGGATGTAAATGAGAAGTTGCTTTAGCCCCATTGTCTGTTCTTAGCTGAGGGTTTCGTTTTCTGTTTGACATGATGTTCTGAACCATTAAGAAGCTAATTATCCAGGATGAGCCCTGGTGTGAAGTATGTATACCTGTATTCTTTCTTCTTGTAAATAGGATCTCCTGTCATCTTTGGTTGAGAGCTGTATATAGATTTAATTTTTATTTTTTTAAAAAAAATTACTTGGTATAGTTTAGTCAAATGCACCTATGACCTGGCTGTTGGGCAAGCATGGCCCAAATCAACATGATAGAAAGAGGGCGGTCATTGCAGTAAAAGATAGCACTCCTGATTTATTGAATCAAAGATCCCAAAATAGCCTGGTCAGCCCCATTCTACTGCAAGCACCAGCCTGCTGGCTGTTCTGCTCCAGGGATGATCCTAACCACCCTTGCAGTTGGGAAGTTTCTTCCTCTGTTTAGTCAAAATCCATTTCCTTACTGTTCTCCGCTGTTGGTTCTAGCCCTGCCTTCTGGAACAATAGAGACCAGACATATTCTTAGAAGCTGCTGCTTCCATTCTGAGAATAATTAAGTAGAGAATGCACGTGTTGACAATATTGCTACTATGAGTCAAAATAAATACATAAAATACTTGGTATTTTCAATAACAGAGTTGATTGCTATCAATTTTTCTCCAGTTACATATTTACATAGCTTGATGTTTCTGCACCTAGTAAACATTTAATAATCCATTTTTAGTCTAAACAGGACTTAAAAAAATACAAGCAATGCAGGAAATATTCTAGGTCTTCCTCCTTTGGAGGAGATAACTAAAGTATCAGGAGGGTATTGAGTATGGGCATGCTTTGGTGGCTGGGGACAGAGTGCAATTAACATTGATTTATGTATTTAATACCCTTTTATAGCATTTCCCAAATGATCATCTCGAAGCGGAGTACAAATAACATAATTTTGAACTGTGCAAGCCACAGGGAGGTGGGTGATGATGCAGAGTGGGTGAAATTGTATCATATATATGAGTAAGGCTGGTGTCTTTTAGGAGAAGATGTTTTCTTTGATTTTTTTTTTTAAATGAGCTTCAACCTATTTTAGGGTTTATACGGCCATCTATATCTATACGTCCCAACTCAAGAAGCCATCTCATCTGGTTTTGGCTCAGAAAGGGCTCTTGAAGCCACCCATATGAAATTTGGGGGCTGCATGAAAACCTTGGAGCTACAGACCGTCCACCCCTGCCGTAAAGCAACCATCAGAAAGAGAAAGATCTTCCAGGTTAGATGGTGAGAGATCTGGATAAGTTGGGCAATGTAACTTTTAAATTTAAGAAATTAAGGACCCATGGAGCTGAATTATGTATCTGTGCTTTTTTATTTTTGTTATTTGTATTCTTTTATTTATTCTACTTCCTTTACTGCTGCATATGTTTGCCCATCCCTTTGTTAGATCTAACTGTTCTAGTATCTACCTTAGTTACACATTTTTATTGTTGTCATTTGCTCTTTTCCCCATAAATTCTGTACTGAATTTCTTCCCTGCCTGTTTGGCTTTTCTGCTTTATTCCAGCCTTGTTTCACCATCACTGTCATTACCTTTTTTATTTTGTTATTTCCTTTGGAACTTTTACCATACATTATTACTCCTTGTTATTGCTCCATGTAGTGGCTTTCTTTCAAAGGGATGGATTTGTGTCCAGCAGGACTTCGTGGTCAGAATTCCTTGTGGAGCATATTTGCCTAATCAGAAAACCGCAGGCGTCCCCGTGTTGTCATAAGAAGTGAGCTTTCAGGAATATCTTCCTCTAGAAAGAATACAGTTGGAGTTGAAAGGAAAAAGATACCTAAACAGTGTGAATTATTAATTATCATTTGAGAACTGATCCTTCCAGAAACAGGCTACTTGCTTCTATGATGATACAGTGGGGCAAAAAAGTATTTAGTCAGCCACCAATTGTGCAAGTTCTCCCACTTAAGAAGATGAGAGAGGCCTGTAATTTTCATCATAGGTATACCTCAACTATGAGAGACAAAATGGGGGAAAAAATCCAGAAAATCACATTGTCTGATTTTTAAAGAATTTATTTGCAAATCATGGTGGAAAATAAGTATTTGGTCACGACAAAATGGGGGAAAAAATCCAGAAAATCACATTGTCTGATTTTTAAAGAATTTATTTGCAAATCATGGTGGAAAATAAGTATTTGGTCACGACAAAATGGGGGAAAAAATCCAGAAAATCACATTGTCTGATTTTTAAAGAATTTATTTGCAAATCATGGTGGAAAATAAGTATTTGGTCACGACAAAATGGGGGAAAAAATCCAGAAAATCACATTGTCTGATTTTTAAAGAATTTATTTGCAAATCATGGTGGAAAATAAGTATTTGGTCACGACAAAATGGGGGAAAAAATCCAGAAAATCACATTGTCTGATTTTTAAAGAATTTATTTGCAAATCATGGTGGAAAATAAGTATTTGGTCACGACAAAATGGGGGAAAAAATCCAGAAAATCACATTGTCTGATTTTTAAAGAATTTATTTGCAAATCATGGTGGAAAATAAGTATTTGGTCACGACAAAATGGGGGAAAAAATCCAGAAAATCACATTGTCTGATTTTTAAAGAATTTATTTGCAAATCATGGTGGAAAATAAGTATTTGGTCACGACAAAATGGGGGAAAAAATCCAGAAAATC